ACACCATCAACTAATTCTCCAGTACCAGCTGGGTGTCCTACAATTCAACTCAATTCTGACATGATCTACAGTGGAGACAGCACCAGGCCCCACAGGTTAAGGACTCCGTCCTAGGAGACCTCTCCTTCCTCCACTTCCAATGCCAGTTGCAAATCCATGTTGTCACCTGGCCTCCTGACTGATCAGCTATAGATCGGAGGTTCCAGTGACCCCCTCCTCAGGTTCGATTAATTTGCTGAAGCAGCTCACGTAACTCAGAGAAACACTTTACTTACTAGATTATGGGTTTATTATAAAAGAATATAACTCAGGGACTGACTGCCAGATAGAAGCGATGCAAAGGGCAAGAATGGGGACGGGTGTGGAGTTCCCATGCTCCCTCCAAGAGCTCCACTCTCCCCAAATAGCCACCTGTTTACCAATCTGGAAGCTCTCTGAAGCCCTCTTGGGTTTTTATGGAGTCTTTATTACATCGGCAGAGATTGATTAAATTATTGGTGATTGAACTCAACCTCCAGCACCTCTCTCCTCCCTGGAGGTGGTGGTGGGGGCGCTGAGGGGTGGAACTGAAAGTTCAGACCCTCTAATCACAGGATTGACTCTCATGGCAACCAGTCTCCGTCCTTAAGAGAACCAGAAGCTTCCCAATAGTCACCTCATTACAACAACATACACTTTGTTAGTTCTCCTCAGGAAATTCCAAGGGTTTTAGGAACTCAGTGCCAGAAAGGGAAAGAAGACCAAATCCATATTTCTTACAGTAAGTCACAATATCACGGTGTACTCTAGCATTAATCCAGTAGAGGGTCTACTATAAGCTAGGCATGGGGCAAGAGGTTGGGTGTCTGGCACCGAAAGACAGATCTGATCCCTTCCTTCACAATGTTGTCAGGTTAGTGGCCCTCAACTTTTAGCATGCACCAGAATTACCTGGAAAAATTGCCGGGCCCCAGCCCCAGAGTTTCTGGTTCAGTAGATCTGGGTGGGGCTGGAAAACTTTCCTTTCTAACAAGTTTACAGATGATGCTGCTAGTCTGGGGACCACACTTTGAGAACCACTGGTCTAGTGGCACATGATTCTTTGCACACATTCCCTGCCACCCTAACCCTCAGTGGCTTAGCACACAAAGGTTTATTTCTTGTTCATGCTCCCTGTCCGTCATGGATTGGCAGGGGGTTTTGCTCATGTTAGTCCCTCAGGGATCCAGGCTGAGACTGCAGCAACCATCTCAAATATTGCTGATCACCACTCCAGAGGAAAGACTGTGAGTCCTGAGGCTCTCATTGGCATTTAAGTGCTCTAGCCTAGTAGTGACACACAGTGACACGCATCACTTCTGCTCACAACTCATTTACCAGAGCTAGCCATATGGCCCATTCGACCACAAGGGGGCAAGAACCTCCATCCTACCATGTGCCCCAAAGGAAACACTGGCCAAGAGCACTAATGACTTCCGTGGAGGGTAATGAGAGTTGTTTTCTCTTCCGTTGTTTAGAAACATCTTTCTGAAAATATCAATCATTGGAATTCTTTGTTACTATTGGCTCAACATCGTGGCCCTGGCTGGTGAAGAGGTGAGATTTCCTTGCTGTTTTGCCTTAAGTTTGATTTCTTAGCCTTTGACCACCAGGGAGGAAATGAGTTTCTTAAGTTTCAGAAGAGTTTCTGCTTAGAGTATTAGAACAGATATCATGTTATTCTTCCATCCATCTGTCCATCTACTAGCCATTTATCCATCTACCCATCCATCCATCCATCCATCCCACAGTCTCTCCATCCATCCATCCATCCATCTATCCATCCCACGGTCTCTCCATCCATCCATCCATCTATCCATCCATCCATCCATCCATCCTTGGGCTGTACATCTGAAAATTTCCTCTCCTCATTCAGCCAAATCTAAAAGCTCACAGTCCATCAGCTCATTGTACTGACTTCCTACAGAGGTAACTGATCCATCAGTTTCATAAACTGACTAATTCAACCTTCCAGATTGTACTAGTCTGCCAAACCTCTAGGCCACTTTCTTAATCAAGCAGATATTAACTGATTTTTCATAAAGTTAATAAGCAAAAGGAGTGGAGGCATTGACACCTCCTGCTCCCCTTAGCTGAGAAATGGGATCCAGAGGGCATAGGACAAAGATGAAAAGTGTTAAAGAGGACAGGTAGTGAGATGGGAACATTTGGGCACATGAGAAAGGCAAGCCTTAATGGGGGAAGAACGAGCACAGAAAGAGAATAAATACTCTTGAAAACAAACTCAGCCTAAAGATGCATTTCTGCTGAGAGTGGGTCTGCTTTTCTGGGCACACAAGGACTCACTCAGACTAAGCCAGCAGCCACGTCCTCACAACACAGGGTTGCCAGGCACAGACGGAAACTGAGTGGAGGCAACAGCCTCTTCCCACATCCCAACTCTTGTTTGCCTTCCAGTGTTGGGAAACCCTCATTGGCCAGGAGATCTACAGGCTCCTTCTGATGGATTTTGTGTTCTCTTTAGCTGATTCCTTCCTGGGGGAGTTCCTGAGGAGGTAAATATTTGTCTGTCTTGAGTAATTCGCACCTGATGTTCCAACCAGAGCCACCGTCTTGGCTGAGCAGGAAGTACAGGTCCCTTATGTACTCTCAGTGTGCGTTGTTCTAAGTCCACCTGCTGTCCTTTGAAATATTGTTTTCTTCTGAATTAACTGACATTTCACCTTGACCTGACGTTCCTGTTGTCTGTCAACCTTCATTTGGTTCAGCGGGTCCTTAATAACCTTCTCTAGATAAAATAGTTCTAGAAATTAAACACAGAAACCAAGAGTCATTTGAGGTCTTATCCACCATAGATAATTTTAATAATTCTAGTGTGTGTATATTCCTCCAAACTTTTCTGTGCACATACTGCTTTATGTGTGTGTATATACCATATAATTTTCAAAGACAAAAGTGGGGTAATGCTGCAAATTTGTGGAGTTTGCTCTTACTAATCTTATTACGATGCCTTGGCATCTTCATGTCCATATACATGGATGTATTTCATTGCTTTAACTGAATTTAATGAATGCACTAATTTTTATTTTAGACCCCAGGTATGCAGAATTAAGGCAATGTCATCACTGGCCCATGTGTGGCCCTGTTTTATTTCCTTTTCATTTATTTTGTAATAAAATGCTGAGCATCTCATTCCGAATAGACACTTAGTTTTGCAAGCTGCCCTAGTGATAAGGTGGCACAGCACAATGCTGGTTCTTTCCTTAGTGGGTAGGTTGAAAGCCAAATTTCCTCACTCAGTCTGCCCAGACTCACTTTTAGTCCAGCCTCTGTCCAGAGTCTGGACATAAATGTGACATTTTTTTTTGACAGCATTTTTTTTTATTGGCAACTCCCCTGTATGAAAAAAATCAAAGTAGTCCCAAGTGTCTTCAGAACAAATGGAGACTTAGATTTCCTCCTTGTGAATTTAGAAAACTGAGAAGCACCATTAATTCAACAGTGGTAACCAAAAGCTGAAAGTTTTTCAGTTTATTTGGGTTGAGAGGTACTAAGTTTTTCTGGTCCCTGAAAAAAAAAGTTTTAACAAGCAAAAAGTGGTATAAACAAGACAATAGGTGGGATAATTTAAATAATTATCTCATTTCAATAATACCTATTATTAATTCATAATTAACCACCTATTTAAATAATGGGTGGGGTAATTTAAATAACGTTCTCTAGAATTTTTTTGAACCATTTCAACTGTGTGAATGCACTGTGTTAATTCCATTTTCCCCTCAATTCCCTCAATTATTTCTTTGAAAACATGTTATATTTGGAACTTTTCAAAAATTTGCAAGGGAGCTTATGACTTATTCCAAATGGGTGAGGATCTCTTTTGTTGACTGTGGGGAACCTTTTGAAGCAGGAGGTTGATGGTTTGGGTACTAACCTCATTACCTTTTCCCAGAATCATTGGGATGCGACTGATCACAAGTCTTGGCCTGCAGGAGTTTGACATCGCCAGGAATGTCCTGGAACTGATCTATGCACAGACTCTGGTGTGGTAAGTTTTGAGAATCTTTAGTTTGCCCAGCGGTTCCCGCCTGACCCTGGACTCGGAGTTTCAGTGGCAAGCCCCAGAATCTGTTGGTTTTCACAGTTGCACAGTAGATACCAAATCCAGCCAGTCTGAGAACTGTGAATTCACGTCCCAGACTATTCTTTGCCTTTGTAAGGGCTTCAGCCAAGAATCAACACAGAGCAGGGATCCCAGCCTGGATGGCCCCAGGCTGTATCCAGGCTGCAATTGTGTTTTGCTCATCTGATGCAGTGCTTTTTCTAAAAATTTGAATTAACCACCTGTATTTAAGAATCAGAAGACGTCACATAAAATTTAAAATTTCTCACTTCTTTCCAAAAAAAGGAGAGATCTAAACCATCTCCCATTATGGTAACAACTGGCTAGGCCTTGAACTGGGGTGAGTGGCTCCAGTTTGCCACGGTCCCACCTTGAACTACTGTCTCCCCAACACTGATTTGCCATTTCTTGTTGCCCTTATGCTGTTAGTTTTCTTATGGTAGAAAACTTCACTTTGTATCAATCACTCAACAGAAATGGGACCCCTAGGTTAGGGCTGGCTGAAGGCCACCTGGGGGTTTAATGGCTGTGTGGGCAGCATTCTCTGCACAATCCCTTCTCCAGAGCCGTGGAGACTGGAGATGGTGGGCATTTGCCTGGTTTGCTGTGTTGGAAGCAGTCTCCCTCTGAATGAATTTTCTAGGGTTTTGATAACAAAGTACCACAGACTGAGGGGCTTAAACCACACAAATGTATTTTCTCACAATTCTGGAGGCTGGAAATCCAAGACCAAGGTGTTGGCAGGGTTGGTTCTTCTGAGGGCTGTCTTTGGCCTGTAGATGGCGCCTTCCCCTGCTGCCCCGTTTCCCTCAGTGTGTCTTTTAGGGCCCACTCGAGTGAGTCATTTTACCTTAATTATATCTTTAAAGGTCCTGTCGCCAAATACATTTGCATTCTGAGGTACCTGGGGTTAGGATTTCAACATGTAACTTTGGAGGGACCCAGTTCAACCCCTAACACCCCCCATCCCTTCCCCCTCAACAGCGCATATCTGCCCGCGTTCCCTGTGTCTCCCCTGGTCTCCGACACTGTCTCTCTCTGTCACAGGATTGGAACCTTCTTCTGCCCTCTGCTGCCCTTCATCCAAATGGTTACTCTTTTCATCATGTTCTACGTGAAAAACGTGAGTCCATCTTGAAGTTGGGAGCAGTCAGCTTCGCTCAGTCACACGTGGCCCAGCGGGGGCTGGAGCTGGGCGCCGGCTGTGCGGACTGGGGAGGGTATGAGGAGGCTGGCATCCGGCCGGCATGCGCCTGGCCTGCTCTTCTGGCCACAGCTAGGAGGCGACTGCTTCTCTTTCTTCAGATCAGCCTGATGATGAATTTCCAGCCTCCGAGCAAAGCCTGGCGGGCTGCCCAGATGGTGACTTTCTTCATCTTCTTGCTCTTCTTCCCGTCCTTCACTGGCGTCCTGTGCACCCTGGCCATCACCATCTGGAGGTAGGAGACGGCAGCCTTGGGCTGAGGTTCTAGGGATGGAGGGATGAGTGTTTTAAAGTGTAGGTTTTATTATTATTCAGGTATGGTGAGGCCAACAGATCAGGAGTCGACTGCCACTGAGAAAATGACTTGTGATGGTCACAGAATCCCAAAGGAGGGGGCGCACCACACCATGGGGGGCCACACAGGGAGGCACCAGGGTCTGTCAGAGCCAGAGCAGTAAATGTGGGCAAAAGCCTTTTTTTGTGATTTCATTGGGGAAGAAAGAGCAAGTCAGGGTATGAAGTCTTAGGAGGGACCAGTCCGAATAATTTCAGTAGGCCCTGGGGTGTAGGGGCCATCTGGAGCGGTCTGGTCCCTGGCCCTGGGGTGCCTAGGGCAGGGGAATGGTGGCCCAGAGTGTGAGAGCTGGAGAGAGGAGGTAGGGGGTGGGATGTGGACTCATTAGCCCTGGGAAAGGCAGTCTCTCCAGAGTCAGTAAGGCCCCAGATGTCAAAACATCAGAATCAAAAGACATGCTTAATGCAGTGTTTAACCCAAGTTCCCTTGGTAACCAACAGATGCTATGGCCAAGGGAGGCAATACATCTGAGTTTGGTGACCACCCATCAGATGCCCCCAGCCTTGACTGGCACAGCTTCTTTCCTCCTCAAATTGCTGCAGCTTCCCAGATGGGGAGAAACCAGTTGTGCACATGGAGAACAGAATTTCCTCTAAATGAACTGAAACGCCCCATCTGATCAGGCTCCCCCTTACCTCTCTGGTCTCACCCTCCTTGGCCCCATCCTACTCCAGCCTCATGTCTCTCAGTCTGTTGCTGGGACCCTCGAGCCTCTCCCCACTCGGGGTGGGGTCCTCTGTTGGAAGTCCTCTCCCCGCTCCATTTTCTTGGAGGCCTTCTTTCCACCCTCTGGTTCTCAACTCAAAAATCACCTCAAAGATCTGACCTTCAGGACCATCCTCATCTACCATCAGTCTCCACCTCCTCTCTCTCTCAGGGCAGTTTCTCTTCTTCCTTCGCTAGTTCATAGTCATAAATGCCTTTGAATCTGTTTAATTTATTCCTTGGTCGACCAGCTTTCCCACTGGAACGTAAACCTGAGAGGGCAGGCATGACGTCTGTCTTGTGTCCTGGGGAACATCTAGGGCTTAGCCTCTAGCCCAGTGCCTGGAACTAGCGCAATAAACCCCTGCGGAGTGAACGAGCAGGTGGTCACACAACAAGGGAGTTGATTTTTAGGTTACTTGTGGAACTGGAACCACGAGGCTCTCGGTGCCTTCAGGGAAGACTGCCCTGTTCCACCATGTCCTTGCAGCTCTGTGTTTACTCTCTTTTCCGTCTTCCTCGCCAGTTCCTTGTTGCCTGCTAGTTTCTCCTTGTTCATAACACCTGACATCATGTGGCCATTACTGCCACAAGTCCAGCTTCCATAGATGACAAGCTCCCCTCTTTGTATTTCTTAGTTCAAGTTCCCAAGAAAGAGGGTCTGATCGCCCCAGTTCATCTCTTTGTGCCAGGACACCAAGGAGGTCACTGCCTGGTCTTTGGATAGGTTATGGTTGGATCAGGTGGTACCCCTGTCTGAGATCGGGTTCTCAGAATACAGGTCACGAGTACAGGACACACCCACTGAAGCTGTGAGCGAGAGGGTTTCCTTTGGAGGAGGGTGTGGGTGGAGCAGGCAAGAACTGCTGTTTCCAGGTCCAGAGCCCAGAAAGGACACCCTGATTCTGGAATGAACTGTACCCGGGTCTCACGCTAGAGGTGTTTCTCTGTCCCTTGTTTTACCAGATTGAAACCTTCTGCCAACTGTGGCCCGTTTCGAGGTCTGCCCTTCTTCATCCAGTCAATCTACAGCTGGATCGACACCCTGAGTAAAAGGCCCAGCTACCTGTGGGTGGTGTGGATCTACCGGAACCTCATTGGGAGCGTGCACTTCTTCTTCATCCTCACCCTCATTGTGTTGTAAGCAGGGCCCCTTGGAAAACGAGTGCGGGAAGCACCTCACTTACACGGCACGTGGGTGGCGTAGGGCTGTTTGGGGAGAAGGCAAAGACTACAGCGAAGCTCAGCTGTGGAATTTTTCTGAAAGTTATTTAATATCTTTTGTGCTTTTGGTTGTGTGTGTCTGTTTTATGAAGAAAGCAATACCTGCTCTGCTCTCTATTAAGAAGTAACATGAAAGGGGGAGGGGATAGCTCAGTGGTAGAGTGTGAGCCTAGCAGGCACGAGGTCCTGGGTTCAAGCCCCAGTTCCTCCGTTAAAAACAAACAAACAAACAAAACTAATTATCCTCCCCCAACAAACAAAAGAAATAATATGAAAAGAAAAAGAAAAAGAAAAAACTGGATATGAGAATGCTTAGGAAAATGATGTGTGATCCTTTCTGGGGTTGTGATTATGTTAAAGTGGGTTGGGCACGTTTGCTCTATGCAGGTTAGTGTACTTTTATTTGCAGATTCAAAAAAAAGATTTCTGATTTCTTGTGAAAAAGTAGATCTGCCAAGTCCGGGTCCATCTTGCTGCAGGAGCAGCTGGCTGGCCGACCGATGGCTGCCTCTCTTCAGAAGCCTGGTCCTGATGGCATCTGAGCTTGCAGCTCACGTAGGGAGACACAACTCGAAAGCACAGACTAGTGGAAGCAGTCCATGTCAGTTGTGGAGTAACCCCGCCACGTTACAGAGGGCAGTGATAAGACGGACAGAGATGGGCTGATTCGCAGATATAATTTCCAGGCTGCAGAAGGTGCTAGAACCTGGGTCTCCTGGCTCTTGGTTATGCTCCCCCTCCCAACTGTGGGTTGCCCTTGGCCTCCTTAATTAAAATGGGGAGTTCTCCTAGTGCCTTGCTCATCCAAACTTCTAATTCGCTGGGGAGCTTGTTAGAAATGCAGGCTCTCAGGCCCTACCCCAGACCCACAGCATCAGAATCTGCATTTTAACAAAGTCCCGGAAAATCTGCATCACACTGAAGTTTGAAGAACACTGACCAGATACACAAACTCTGGCTGCACATTAGAATCATGTGCATTTACAGGGAACTCTATTCAATATCATGTAGTAACCTATTATGAAGAAGAATATGAAAACGAGTGTATGGATGTATATGTACGGCTGGGGCATTGCGCTGTACGCCAGAAATTGACACAACATTGTAAACTGACCATACTTCATAAGAAAGAATGCAAATTAAAAAAAATACCAAACTGAAAAAAGAAAAGAAGAATCATTGCATTTAAAAAACACTGTTAAATGTTCTAGGAGGGGTGGGTGGAGCTCAGTGGTAGATCACATGCTTAGCATGTGCAAGGTCCTGGGTTCAGTCCTCAGTACATCTACTAAATTAAAACAACAACCATAAAACCATAAAACTGTTAAATGTTCTCATTACAAAAAAAATGATAATTTTATGATGCAATAAGGGCGTTAGCTAACACTATGGTGATAATCATATCGCATTGTGTAAATGCATCAAATCAACACAGTTATAGACCTTAAACTTACACAATGTTATAGTCAATTGTATCTCAATAAAAAAATAAAAAAACTAGATCGTGGCAAAGTTTGCACAACTGTACACATTTACTAAACCTCATCAAACTACGCTTAAAATGAGTAAATTTTGTAGCACATAAGCTATGGCTCAGTAAAGCAATAAAAAGAAGGAAAGTACTGATGCTTGTAAGAAGCTCAATTAATCGATCTGAGGAAGGGCCATGGCCTCTCTGGTGATTTCACATGCGGAATGACGAGAATCATTGCTGTAACGTATTTATCCTCTAACTCATCCAGACACAACTTTTCAGGAACACTGGCTGGGCCACAATCCATTTGGAAGCAAATATACTGGTTCCTTTGAACTCAGCTGAAATTGGGAGACTGCAAAGCATTGGAGAAGGTGTCTGCCATTCTTTCTTGTCTTCTCTTCCAGAATCATCACTTATCTTTACTGGCAGATCACAGAGGGAAGGAAGATTATGATCAGACTGCTCCATGAACAGATCATTAATGTAAGTCCTGTTGGACCCCTTTGTGATCCTCTCCCATTTTTAATATTTTGTAATGGAATTTTCAAACATACTCCAAAACTGAGGACAATCCAATGAACTCCTGCCTTCCCACCACCCAGCCCTGATAAGCATCAGCAGTTGTAGACTCTTATGTCGTCTACACTATCCCTTTGCTGTGAAACCCTGGATTATTTTAAAGCAAATCCTAGCCTTTGTTTATATCATTTTATCTGTAGATTCTTCTATATGCCTAAGAGATACAGACTTCAAAAAAAAACGTAACTACAATACCAATCATCACACTAAGAGAATATCTAATAATTCCTTACTACCCTCTTAGAGCCAGTCACTGGTCAGATTTTCCCAGTTGCCCCATTGTCTTTGTACGGCAGGATTATTCACCTCAAAATCTGAAAAAGCGCCACAGGTTACATTTGGTTGATGTGCCTTTTATGTTTCTTTCAATCTATAATGGTTCACGCCTCCCTCTTCTCTTGCCATTTACTGCTAAAGAAACCAGGTCATCTGTCTTGTAATAATTCCCGCATTCTGGATGTATCTGATTTGCAGCCCTGTGGTGGTGTTTAGCATGTTTCTTTTTCCTTTGTATTTCCTATAAACTGGTGGCGAAATTTAAAGTCCTGATTAGGTCTAGATTCCACTTTGTAGCTAGGATACCATGTAGATGACACTGTATGCTTCTTACAGCTTCACCTCGAGGCACAAAAGTTCTGACTGTCTCTCTTTTTGTGCTGTTAAGAGGGATCAGTGGGTCCATGCTTGGTTAGCTGACCCATCCTTCAGAAAGTTCCCTGTTAGCTTCTCACCTAATGGATTTAAGATCCATTTATTCCATTCAGGATTACTAAATAGTGCTACTCTGATTCTAGAACTTCTTCTGCATATATTAGCCGGAATTCTTCTATAAAAGAAGAATTTTTGCTCGTCAACTATTTGATTACCTTGAAATACAGTTTATAGAGGAACGGCAAGTAAATACACTGCTCTTTCCCTTTGTTTACTTGTTTCCAAAATGAAGAGTTGGTACCTTAGTGTATTTTCTTGAACACTTACTGGTGCCTGGCATGGTGGTAAATGATGAACAAAGAATTCTTCTTAAATTTTTACTAGTCTCTCTGGGGCACAATCATTTCTTTAACCTGTATGTTAAAATTAAGGAAACTGAGGCTTATAGAGTGAAGTGAGCTGCCCAAAGTCACAGGGAAGATGTGTAGTGGGATTTGAACCAGGCAACTCCAAAGTTTATGCTCTCAACCATGATGCAGCTTTACCTCCCTGAGTCAAAATCTTACAGAAGAATTTCAATTACTAAACATAGAAGGAATGAGGGAAATGGAACATTGTCACGAAGCAAAATACTGCGGTAATAATCGTTTCAAGCAAGATCCACCAGTGGATGCTAAAATCAATGGGTGAAAGTTGAAGGAGAAACAAGGGCATGGGAAATGGGATTCACCTAGACTGGACAGACCGTCAGTGGTGCTCGCTGACCCACCTCAGCCCTGGTGGAATCTACCACTCTCTTGCCTGCAACAGATTCACAGGAAAGTGGTTCATCCTCTTGGGGAAGGCATACGCCCTTCCCTTGTTCTCCTTCCCAGTTCAGGAATTATTTATCAGGGTCTCATCCATTAACACAGGTAACTTTGCCAAGTGAAATATATTTGATGTCCTTAGATGCAGAGCTATAAGCTTTGACATTCCCAGTGGGAGGACCGGGCAGATCCAGGCAATGCTGGGTGTGCAGACAGGGTTCTGGGGCAGAGGGCATGCCAAGAGGGGGATGCTCTGAACCATCTGTGCTGGCCCTCAGACAAGGGCATGTAAGTTGCTCCTGGCAGCAGGCTGCTACTCAGTCTGCTGGGAGAACTGCGTTAGAGGAGAGGATTACAATTCAGGAAGGCTATGGTGGATAATTTGGTTTTGCTGTGAAATGTTCCTTTCTTTCATTAATAGGAAACACGGCTGCGGTCTCCATCCAATGCCGGGACCCTACCTGCCTAAAGCTCAACCTTCTTTCCATCATTTGCTTCTCAGCCCCACATCATCGTTCATCCTCCATATTTTTATTTTTGATTTTGTTTTTTTTCCCTTGGCAGGAGGGCAAAGACAAAATGTTCCTGATAGAAAAGTTGATCAAGCTGCAGGATATGGAGAAGAGAGCAAACCCCTCTTCCTTCACACCAGAAAGGAGAGATGTGGAGGTGAGCCTGGGGGCCACCTTGGGGTCCCTGTGACACAGATGTGCCCTCCTGTGAAAAGTGCATCAGGGAACTAGAATCACATAAGGGCACTTCGCTTTCTATGTCTTAACGTTTCTGTATTGTTTATTTAAAGAAATAGCACACCATCGTTCACCACTTTCTATGCCTGGCGGTGTTCTAAGTGCTGGGGTCATTGTGGGGCTTGCACATGCCTTTCCTGTAACCCAGCCATACAGAGGTTTATCCCACTGAGATGAAAAGAGCCCTGAATCTCACCGCCTCCCCATGTTAATGCTTTTGTATGTATTCTTCCAGCTCTTTCCTTCTAGGTATCTGCCAACACGCATGCGTCTGCTAACGTTTTTGTTTATTCATTTACTTGTTACCAAAAAGGGGCTACATCATGCACATGGTATTGTAACTTCCCCTCTCCCCACTTAATATTGCATCTCAGGCATTGTTTTAGTTTGTACATATTTGGACATTTGGGTCGTTTCCATGTTTTTTTTTTACATACTAGAAACAATATGTAATGAAACATTTTTGTTATAATTGTTTTATATGTTTTATCTGCCACAGGCATGCATGTGATAATGTTAATAGATATAACTATATCATGCTCTTACGATTTTTACCAATTTCATTCTTATGAAGCAGGTATAAGAGCTGTCTGGAACCCTGCTCTAATTCCAAAGCCCCTGCTGGCTTCGCTGGTGTCCTGGAAAATTTGGATAAATAGTAAACCCAAGTTAGTTCGAATACTACTAGTTTGGGAATTTGTTGATCTTATCAGAAGAGACTGCCGTGTCACTGACTCTCCGCACAAATTAATATCGTGATTTAGGCAAGAGAGCTAGAGGCCCAGCTCTAAATCCTGTGAAAGCAGGGGCCACATCTGTACCTTTGCAGCCCCATGTCCTAATATGTTACCTGGCGTCATGTAGACGCTCAGTAAGTATCTGTGAAATTAATGATGAAATGAATGAAGTCACTGTCCCTAGAAAAATGAAACGAAACATGTTTGATATTTCTATGGCTGAACCTTGGTCTTAATCTGTCACTCTTTTTTTTAAAATGGTGGGGGCTCACAAGTCTTACCAGCTATGCAACAGGGTCCGAAGTCTGTATTCTTTCCCAGCGGTGAGGTTTCTCGCTTTCTTCTTTTTCAGCAGTTGGGCCCTTTGCATGTCAGGGAGCATGATGCTGCTCCAGGTGAGTAACCAGCTGGCACTGGAGGAGGCCTGACTCATCAGATGACCCGCCCCGAAGTAGAGGGTCAGAACTGCTCCTGCTGCAGTCCCTCGCTCAACGGCAAGAACTGGCCCAAACTGGCTTTAGTAAAAACCCAAGAACAGTTCTTGCTTTAGGTGTGGCTGGAAGCAGAGGCTCACAGCATGTCACCAGAACCTGCTTTCTTCCTGGTGGGGTCTTTTCCATGTTACCTCCTTTCTCAAATAGGCTCTTCTTGATAATAGTGACAGCTTTATCAGCTTCTGGTACCTTCTCAGATTTAAGCCTAGTGGGAAAGAGACTCAGAATTCTCACTGTGTTTCATTGCATCTGATTGGGTGATGTACCCACCCATGAACCAATCAATTGCTGTGGCCATGAGACTGCGACGGTTTCATTGGCCAGATCTGAGTCCCATCTATGTAGATACAGGTGGTATGAACATACAGAACCTCAGGGACTGCGAGTGGAGAAGGGTGGCTTCCTAAAGAAAATCTGTGGCTGATGACAGAAGGGGAATGAGTCTTGGGGAGGAAACAAGCAAACCCATCCATCTTTTTGGGACAGCGTTCACTGACAGCATCCAATGATGGGAGTTCACGGGGGAGAACTGAAGAAACTTAAAAGGAGGCAGGAAGGCCTGAGAAGCCGTGGGGTGTTGAAAGCCAGTTTGGTCTTTCCCATGAGGGATGAGGCAGCGTCTGTGCTAACTTCTCTTTCCTGTATCAAAACCAGACCTGCGATTTAGGCGATCAGTTCAAGAAGATAATCCAAAGGTCTGAAAATTCTTGTGGAATCCAGACACCAACCAAATGAGGAAAGAAGACAAAGATGGAACGACTTCTTCCACGACACCTGGGCCTTCAGGAGCTTCCCAGAAGGGGAATTCAAGCTGTCAGCCAGGAGTGGAAGCTGACTACAATATAAATACTAAAGCGAAGTTGGGCATTCCTTGCTGGTTTTTCACTCCTGAATTGCTCAATTTTTCAAGACAAACTGGAATGTTCCAGTAAAGACTGTGGTACTGTTTGAACTAGTTCAAAAACCTGGGAAGAGTGAACCTGAGAATGATGTAGTTTATCTTTAAGAGATATGCATACGAATTTTTGGTCCTTAGGAGTCTCTCCTCCCAGACAGAGCTCCCAGACCTGGCAAAGGTTTGGAAACTGGTACTAAGTCAAGTGGTCCAGCTTGAATAAAAATGGGATTCTCAGTCAGGGATGTGAAGCCTCTGAAGTTTGGGACCTGCATTTGTTTGCGACTTAACTAAAAACATCCCCGTGTTACCCAAAGGTGAAATACAACTAGAAGCCTCGTCTAAAATGTATTCCTTAGTGAGTACCTGAGTCTTTGGGATTAGACTGGGGCAGGGGTGTGGACTGGGACTCTGCCCCTGTGGGGTTTTATACATGATCCTCAGAGTCTTATGTTGAACCAGACGTGAAGCCAGTGGTGATACGTGGAATACAGTTATATGTATGTGTCTGTGTCTGTGTGAGTACATACGCATAAACATACGTACATGTAAAAAACATTTGTGTGTGTGTGCAGATTTGCCAAGTGATTCACAAGGCATGTGACTGTGCTTAAAACTGAGGGTCCAGCAGTTACCAACTTACTTGTGGGGAGAAATCTCCTCTTCAGTAATCACTATCATGAAATCTAATTGGAACTGAATTTCGAAAACATTTCAGATGAATTTGAAACACAAGCATCCAGTCGGTGCTCAGTCATTGATTCGCTTCTTCATTCACTTATTTATTCATTAATTCATCCGTCACTGAATTAAGTTCTCTTGGTATCATCTTTGCTAGTGTTGCCAGCAGTCCTCCGTTCTTCATTCATTCATTCAACAAACATGTGCCAAGTGGTGGTGAGCAAGTCAAGACACAGTCTCTGCCCTCATGTGCTTACTGTCTAGAAAATCAAGTTAATAATTACAAAACAACTCTAACACACGCTGTGAAGGAGAAGCTCCCAGGGGACTATGGGAGACTTAACTCGTCTGTGGAACTGATGTTCAAAGCGACTTTCCCTGCTCTCTGTTATCCTAATGCTGTGTGTGCTACTTTGGCTCCTACATTGAAATGTGGGCTCCCTCTGAAAGCACCGTTTTTGGTTGGATTAGGACGCACCCTAAATGGCTTCATATTAACTTAGTCACGTGTTTAAAGGACTTGCCTCCAAATCCCGTTACATTCCGACGTACTGGGGGTTAGGACTTCAGCGTGTGGATTTTGGGTCAACACAGTTCAGCTCGTCATTGGGATCAACTCACCTCCAGTCGCGTCAGGGCCTCTCATCAGGCAGCGGCGTCCTCAATGCTGGCTGCACCCGGGATGGCACAGAGAGGTTCGAACCACCAGGCCCATATCCCGCTCTAGACCGACTAAATCAGGCATCCGAACTTTGCCCTTAAAGCTCCCCAGATGGTTTCAGTGAGAACTACTGAGCTAGGATCTCGAGTTGTTCTTTTTGAACGTGCTTGACCATAAAAGCCACTTGAGGCGCTTATTAAATGGGGAGCTCAGAATACTGCGCCAAAATCTTCCGGGGACATTCCCCATCCTTTCCTCCAGCCCTTATTTTAATTAGCTCAGAATGATAAAAGTAACACCTGCTTCCCGACAGTCACCTAAAGCTGGGTAACCCCTGCAGTTTTAGTATTGAAAAAGGGTAGCCTCTCCTGCGTTTTTACAGGACCTGACCCTTCACGTGGATGTTTGTTGATGCTGCTAAGTCCTGAATCTTCATCTCACTCTGGGTCTGTATCCAGTTTCTTCAAGGATACTTGGTATCCCACAACTCATTCTGTCATTTATTGAGTGTCTACTATGTGACAGGCACTGTAATGAGCGCGGGGAACGCTTCTCATGAGTGAGCCCTTGCTGTGGGTCAGACAGGATGCTAAGCCCAGGTTTAGAGTGTGAACTTTGGAATTATATAACCTGGGCCTGAATCCTTATCCTAGTACTGTTGTGTGACTTTAGGCAAGTTACTTAATTTCCCTGTGCTTTGGTTTTCTTCACTGTAAAAGGGATTATAATGGTACCCACCTCGTAGTGTTGTAGTGGAGTAGACACACAGAAAGCATTTGAAACAGTGTCTAGACTTGCAGACATAGTAAACAATCATATGGTTACTGGGGAAAGGGGGTGGGAAGGAATAAATTTGGGAGTTTGACATTTACAAATGTTAGCCACTGTATACAAAAATGGATTTTAAAAAAAGTTTCTTCTGTATAGCACAAGAAACTGTTCAGTATCTTGTAATAACCTCTAATGAAAAAGAATATGAAAATGAGTATGTGGAATATATGTATATATATGCATGACTGGGACACTGTGCTGTACACCAGAAATTGTCACATTATAACTGACTGTACTTCAATTTTTAAAAATAGCAAAAATAAAGGAAATGAAAGTGTCTAGTTCATGGTAGGCAGTCAATAAATGTTATTAACAAGCATTCTACACACCCTCTTTCCTTTAATCACAACTACCTCCTGATGTGGTACTAATGCTCCCTCTATTTTAAGATGAATTAGGGCGCTAGCTATATGACCTGTCCAAGGTCATACAGGTAATCAGGAAATTAGATTTAACTTTCTCTGATGCCAAATCCTGTTGTCAGCCCCTTTACTAAGCCTTCAAAGTAAGCGCTTAATAGTACTGAACACTTTCTTTCCTGATCTGAATTCTCTATTCTTCAAGGCCCATGACCACCTTAGCATAGGATTTAAGTCCCTAATTGGGTCTGGCTGAGTAAAGTGCAATATGGGTTTGGGATAAAGGTCTGGAGACGAGAACTCCTGGCTCTCAAAGTCTTCGCAGCACAGGAGGGATGCTGTGGACGCTGAGCTGTGCCCACAGGAACTCCTTCCCTGTCAGTTGCTGTGTGGCCTCTGAGGACCAGAGGGGGAATTCAGTCCACGGATGTTTCCTTTGGTTACTTTCTCTTCCTCTGTCACTCGTCATAATATGCCATGCAAGTATATGCAGTTTAGATACCCATTTATTGAATCTTTGTCCTGCTGTTCATTTTAAAATTCAAGAAAATTTCTTTGTAAACATCCCAAGCCCGTTATCATCTTCCTGCCAACACTAACTGTAGCAAAACTCAGTCTGCTTCGCATCATCTCGCAGTGTGCGCTGGTGGCCTGGCTGCTGCGTGGGTGAGGCTGGTGCCCGTCAGGGCTCAGGAGGGAAGTCATGACTAAGCTGCGGGCCTGGGATCAAGGCTGCAGATGGGGCTGAAAGGCGGGTGTGGGCAGGGGGGTGGGGGGTGGGGGTGAGAAAGCTAGAGGAGAGACAGCTTTGCAACTTTTTAAAGACTCAACTTCAATTTAAGTATTGTTACTTAAGTTTACAGAAAGGCCCCTGCAAGCTCAGGTGGGAAAGAGCAGAGCTGGGAATAAGGGCGCTGCATTATATAGGCAGACAGGGCGAGTGGTTCTCTGAACTCAGACTGAGCCAGATTGGAATCCCAACTACACCAAGGAACTCGAGACCTTGGGTAAGTTACTTTTACTCTGTAGTACTTTGGTTTCCTTCTCAGTAAAAAGGGATTAATACCTCTGTCAGATTTCTGTGAGGGCTGATTACAATAATGCATGCTAAACCACTCAACTTCCTGGCCAAAGGTAAACAAGAAGTCTGAGTCACCATGGGATCAGGCGCTGTGTCA